TTATGGTTGGAGGGGGTCACCACAACATGAGGAACTGTATTAAGGGGTCGGGCATTAAGAAGGTTGAGAACCACTCCCCTAGGCATTAGTGAACTGAAATGGATTTGTATTGGCCATTTTGGATCTGCCAATCTTATGCTTTACTATGCCAGAAAACATAAATTCTTGAAGAACGGTGTTACATTCATTGCCAAAAAGGACGCTGCAAGATCAGTCTTGAAGTACAATGCTATCTGTGATAGGATCACACGTATAATATACCTACAAGGAAGTCCAGTTACTACAACATTATTCAAATTTAAGCATCAACCACTAAAGCTGACAGGGAACTGCCAGAATTTTCAGGCTAGATTCACAAAAGGACATGGAACAGAGGATATCATTGCTGATGTCAGATGGATCTTGGCTTGAAGCAGAGACTACCAGAAAGATATTTACTTGTGTTTCAATGACTATGCAAAGACATTCGACTGTGTAGACTATAATAAACTGTGGGTCATCTTGAGAAGAATGGGAATTCTAGGCATTTCATTGTGCTCATTAGGAACTTGTCTATGGATCAAGATGCAGTTGTGGGAACAGAACAGGGTTTAAAATCAGGAAAGGTGTGTGTGTCAGGGTGGTATCTCTCACCTTACTTGTACAACCTGGATGCTTTGTGAATCATCAGAAAGCTGGATTATATGAAGAATGTGGCATCAGGATTGGAGGTAGGCTTATTACCAACCTACAGTATGCAAATACCTAGCTTGCTGAAAGCGAGGAGGACTTGCTGATGGAGTAGCCTTCAGTATGGATTACAACTCAGTGTAAGGAAGATCAGAATCCTCACAACTGGACCAATAGAGAAAAGGTTCAAGTTGTAAAGGAATTTTTCTTACTTGGCTCCACAATCAATGCTCATGGAAGTAGCAGTCAAGAGATCAAAAGATGTATTTTATTAGGTAAATCTGCTGCACAAGACCTCTTTAGAGTATTGAAGAGCATGGATGTTACTTTGAAGACTACGGTATGCCTGACCCAACCCATGGTGTTCTCCATTGCATCATATGAAAATTGGACATGGAGTAAGGAAGACCATAGAAGAATCGATGCCACAACCGCTGAAGACAAAGCGGGTGAATAAGCAAATGTGAAGAAAGCTGATGGTGCCCAGCTATCAAAAGATATAG